AATCCGTTACCAGAGACAATTAAGACTTCTGTACTAACTCTTAGGACGGTAACAAATTTGAATTTCTGGTAAAATCTTTCTTCTAATAATTGCAAATTTTCCAGAAACCAAATTTACCAAATAACTGGTCACGTTCTACCTCGCTTATTTCTCTGAAATTATTTGGTAGCAAGATTTTTACCGAGTTTTCAACTTTCCCCTGTTAAACATTTTCCCATTACGAAAACAAATTTTATATACAAAATGCCTAGTTATATTTCTCCTCCCAATTTTTTTACCAATCCGGTAACACTCTTTGTTCCCTCATTATTCAGAGTGTGCTAGGTAAACAGGGCGCTCAGGGAGGCATGAAATGAAACGGAATAAAACTGCAAGCATAATATGTAATTATGGCTACGATTACGCAAACACACTGCAAAAAGGCTGAAAACATTTGGTATTGATTCGGTAGTAATTTCAAACCGAATTGGTAATAAATAGTTTGTTTCTGAGTAGTAATTAAAACTACATTACTAAACCGTATTGCTCGTCATTACGATGCCGGTACTCCGACCGGTAATGATTTAATACCAGTTGTCTAAAACAGTGTTTCGCTTTTGCCGGCTAAAATCGTTTTTTGTTGGCCAGTGGTCAAAAGTGGTCAAAAGTGGTCGAAAATGGCCAAAATGGTAGAAAGTGGTCAAAAGTGGTCAAAAGTATTCTATTGGCTAATTGTTTGCGCGGCGGGGTTAAACAGACTCTGGGCCAGTATTATTTATTCTTTGCACAAAGAATAATCATAGTTCTTACAAAGTAATTGAAATATTCTGTAATAATTACCAATCTAATAAATTCAACGTGGACAAATGTAGTAAGTAATTTATACATTTGCTCGATACTTGAATATTTTAATTGCTCATTTAATTGGTCAATTCATAACTATTCCTGTGTCAATTATTAATGATGCAATGTGTAATTTATTGCTTATTTGTATAGTTAATAACCAATTTTAAAATTTTAGATCCAATCAAACATAGATAAGTAGCGCCTTCAACTTGCTCTGCTAGATCCTGATGAAATCCTGAATGTCAAATCATTAATTTATCATTATTCATTGTCGCACAATGCCCCATTTTTGCATTTTGGCCACTTTTGGCCACTTTTGACCACTTTTGACCATTTGCCACCTATTCTGGTAAGTGGTCAAAAGCCACTTTTGGCCGCTTTTGACCGGCGGTCTGGCCAATCTGGTTTTTGCCAAGCGAAACACTGGTCTAAAAGAGTGCAATTATAATTACACATGCCCAGCCAACCGTTCTTAAGTACATATTATCACACGAAATTGCCACCATATAAATGCTACAACTCGACGAGTGTGTTATTCCGATAAGAAATTGGTGTAATTTTGCAAATTCGAAATTAAGCTAAAAAAAATAAGTTTACATGGTTTTTGCAATTTTGCCAAAGCATAGTAGGTGGATTTGATCTTCAGGATTTAAGGCACTGCAATTTTAGAAAATAGATGTTCCCGGCATTTTAAGTAACATAATTTTGTAATTTTTCTAAAATTACATACAATCCTGCTACTACAATTCTATGCTTTATATTTTCTAATGAGAAACTAGTGTATTTTTGCACGTAGAAATTAAGCTTGCAAGTTTTCTGCAAATGTGTCGATTTTAATTCTGATTTTAATTCAAACGATGACGAAATTTATCTTAAAAAGTTTGTAGAATTGCAATTTTCTAAAAAAATCTTTCCAGCATTTTAAATTAACAAATGTTGAGAATTTTCATAATTCAAGCAATAAATTTGTTAATTTTTGCATGAATAGGTTAACAATAATTGCGACGGTAATATTTTTTTATTTTTTAAATCTCAAAGAATTGCAAAAAATCGCCACAACTTAAGAAATATTCCAAAAACACAACTTGCCATTCTGTCAATTTCGATCTTTCAGTATTACAAAGTTTATGCCTTCTGTGAAGAAAATTCTGTGGCGTTGAAATTGCTCAATTTTCCTTCGTTATCAAAAAATAGTAATAAGTAATTTAAATTAATTTACTACAATAATTTTCAAATTTGTACACAATTTTCTAATTTCATTCGCATTTTTTCCCTTGCAAATACCTTCAACAGTGGAATTTTTTATGCATGCAAAAAACCACCAAATTCGTCATCTTTCTGCTCGAATCAATTTTAATAATGTAAAATTCTACTACAATTAAAACTTCGTAACGGAACTATCTACATTTTAAAATAGTTGGTTAAATCTTCCCAAAAAAAATGAAGTCGCTGAGTAATTACAAAAAATAAAAAATCTGATTTATCATTTCGCAATTTTAACAGAGCTATTTACATAGCAAAAAGGTTTTCAGCAAATAACGAAATTTTTTGACGACTCGACATTTCTGTAAAAAAATACATAAAATATGATCCAACAAATCAAATTTGACTTCAATATTTCCAACTGACTAAAACATTTTCATACAAAAATTGATCGCTCTCCCTCTTCCGATTTCGACTAATCTGCACGCCTTTAAACTTTGTGAATTCTCATCTAAAATAGTTTGTGTCGTTAAAATCTTGCATTTTTAAAAATGTTTTCAGTAAACAATAAATAAATTTCTTGGAAGCTTAAAATTTTCGCGAAACACTTTAGACATGAATGGCACAAAAAAGTTCCATGGATCTCAATGTTTTTCAAAGTAGGCGAATTATTATCGACAATTGGTGTTTTAAACCCACAAAAATTTTGCGCGTGCAAAATCTGGTTAAACTTCGTGTTTTAGGCGTAATCATAACATCGTGATTCTATTTCGCGTGAGTCGCTACTCATTTATTACATAGCAAATATTAGATTCTACAAAACTGCGATGTAGATAAGTACAAAAATTCTCGTATTTCTTTCTCTAAAAATTTGGCGTCAAAATGACACAATTTTCGCAATTATTTAATTTGCTTAATTTCCGCGATTTTTTTAACCTTATGCAAAAGTTGTTGCGAGTCCAAAACCAAGATAAACTAAGAATATCCATCATTTTGAAAAATTTAGTAAATTCTGACGCATACAAAATTTGGTAACACTTAAAAAAATCTGGTAACACATTCAAAAAATTTGGTAACATATTAGAAAAATCAAGCCTCTCCTTTCCCATTCCCTCGAAAATTCTCAAGTTCAAGCTTACACGAAACACTTACACAATTTTGAAATATTAATGCAATTCATGCTTGAAACATTGTAAAATCCGTGCGTTTTGTAAAATAATTTTACACACATTTGTACAAAATGAAGGGACCATGAATGATCTGTGCAAGTTTTCAAAAGTTCGTAAGCTAATTTTTCTTCGAAATATTCGTAAGATTTTGTAAAAATTTGTAAGTTTACTGAATTTACAATATTACATCCTGCGTGAATTACAAGCACAAAATTTACCAAGGCAAACACAGAACACTGAAATCTCCTGAAAAATCTCGAAATTTCGAAGAATATTTACTAAAATTCCGGTACGAATTTCTGAAAAGTCATATGTTTCCATCCTTTCGTAGTGCACCCAGCCACAAAAAAGTAGATTCTTTTGGACATTTCTCTTCTCACTGTGATGCATCCGAGGTGGTCTTGTTGGCGAAGAAACGCTGCCTTTTGACTTTGTTGAGGAATCAGTGGTCCCTGCCTTCACCCACCAGACGCCGGTACCGGGGATGATTGACAGCTGGAAATGAGACCTCATTACGACCAGCCACCCAACCACCCAATCCCGAAAGAGACGGCCATGCTCTTTTCCAAACAAACCGTCCTCCTCACCAAACACACTAAATAATGCCAGATAACTATATTTTTAAACTATAATCCCCGCCAAAGAGTGTGGTAACAAAAGTGTTACCAAAATAAAAATGTGTGTGCATTCTTTTGGTAAACTAAGCTGAAATATTTAGAAATATGTTTGCCTGTATGACGCTAAATTGTATGTATTTATGATAATATCGGTAAAACGAGAGAGTGAAATATGTTACCAAGTTTGGTAGTTGGTAAAAATATTGTGTGCTACCAAAAAATAGTCCCTTGTTTTTTTCAAATAATCTGGTATAGGAATATATTATGATTTATATTGTAATGTGCATGTCTTAATTCTTGGTAACACTGATGCGGTGGTCTGGTAGTAGACAATTTATTACCAATTACAGTGGCAAATTTTTACCGAATTATGTTTTAAAAACCTCTTAGTTTTCTTAGCCTTCAAATATGCCTGTAAAAAATTACTGTTCAGCTAATATTAATAGTCTTATCTAAACCTGAAAGGTTTCCTGGCACATTATTTTATTTTAGTTTACAAAAACCAAATAACCTCTCAGAAAATATTCGAAGCAATTAAGGCTGTTAATATTGGCTGAACAGTAATATTTAAAACAAATTCCTCGGTAACATTTGCCAAATGTTACCAAATCTACCGGTAATTCCTGCCTAAATTTTTTAAGAGTGCATCTTCTACCCCATGAATACCCCACGTTTCCCTCTCTCTCAAATAAAATCCAGTCTTTACACATTTGTTTTTTTCTTTTTTTCTTTCATAATAACTCGATTCACTTTATATATTTCATCATCATCATTATCATCATTATAATAATTATTTATAATTATCTTAATAATTATCTTAATAAATTTATTTACTCCCTAAAAATTATACTCATCCAGTATTTTTCCTAAATATATTTCCAGACATCACCACCACTTCTTCTTCTTTAACAAATTAATACATATTTAAAGTTAAATTTCTATTTAATTTAATACTTCGTCACTACTTCTGAGATACATTTTTAATTGCAAACCTATTTAATTAATTAATTAAACTCTTTCAATAAATAGTTATACAAGATCCGACTTAGTTTTTAGAGTATACCTGACATCTTGTGAGTGAGTTATGTATTTAATTACACGGTAATAATTAATTATTTATAATTAATTAATTAATTAATTCCTTATATTTTTATCAATTGTACCATTTTCATCGTATTTTTATGTGTGTGTGTAATGTAATCGTATCCTTTTAGTTGCGAAGTGTATGTAAATACGTACGTATAATTTTTAAATGTACAATTTATTTTTTTAGTGTGTAGTTAATTTTAATTTTAATTTATTACAACAGTTTCATAATTAATTGTGAATTTGTGAAATTGTTTTCCTGGAAAATGAAGTGTAATTTATTTAATAATCGGACCATATGTACAAGAAGACAGCAATTAATGTAAATTAGTGTTGTTTTATTTAGCAGAATTTTGGTAAGTTTTGTGGTTAAGGATTAAATTAATGCGCCCTATTTTTAGCACTAATTGCACTAAAATGCCAGAGTTTTTGTGGCTGCACGTGCTGCAAATTACGTGGAAATTACATGGCTAATTCCTTGTAACGAAATTTATCACGGTGAAATTTGTAGCAAAAAATGTTTCGTAATTTAACAAAAAATGTACTGGATATTAATTTTTAGGAAATTTATCACCGGGAAATTTAAATTTGTTGAAGTAAAACTGCTAGATATTAATTTATCACCGAGAAAATTGGACTAAAACAGATCGTTAAATTTCTAAATTTAAAAAACCTGTTAATAAAAAATTTTGAATAACTAAAATTTAGTAATTTTTACTGCTTTCTCTGCTTAAAAAATTGTTTCTTTCTTTTTCGTATACCGGAAATCACTAGTTTTTTTGTTTCGTTTCAATTAAAAATTAAGCTGTTAAATTTTATCAAATAAAATTTTATCGTTTTTTAACCGTAAAAAAAGTATACTTGGTTCCTGAACTTGGTTTTTTGTTACGCTTAATAATAAAAAAAATTGACAAGATGTGTTCATATTTTTCGTATACGTTTTGCAAGGCGTGTATGACAGGTTTCAAATAATATTGGGTGCGATTTATTATTACAGGAAATTAAAAAATCGGGACGGAAATCACTTTTCGAGAAGGTAGAAAGAAACTAGGCATAAATTAGGAAATGAAATATAAGTCATATTTTATTTTTATGAAATTTTTCGGAGAGTGAAAGTAAATTCACGTCAAAAATTTAGTAGTAAAAATGTCACGAATTTTGCTCCATTTCATAAAAAATCACTCATAAATTCCGGCAAATTTATTTTATTGGGGAAAATTTTGAATGCAAGTAAGCAAGTTCACGTCAAAGATTTAAGCTAAAAATTTGCTCCAAAAAATCCTCATAAATTATGTAAAAATATCGAAATGAATTTTGGTGAAATTTTGAGATAAAGTAAACTAAACGACAAATATTGTCTACAAAAAATGTCAGAAATTCAGTTCAAAATTGAATACCAATTTGTTGTCAAAAATTGTAATGATTCCTTTAAATACTTGCTTGCAAAAAATTATTCCATGTTTTCTGAATTTCTTTTACTATGAAAAATTATATTTCAATTATTTTCTGAAAAATTGTGACGTTATTAACAAAATTCGAATTTTTTTCTCTAAAAAATTCAATTTCTGCCATAAAAACAGTCATACTTTCACTTTGCCATTTTTTGACATGAATCTACTTTCTCCGTGCACACATATATTTTGTGGGTTTGGTTAGTTTTTGGTGACGTCGCCATCTCCTCCGTCGCCATGATGGATGATTTATTTCCCTTGCGCAAAACCCGGAATCCTACAAAATAATACGGTGTAATACCCGATATCTTCTTCTCTCCCGTAATAAACATCCCCGCCCCCGTCCACTACCCGGAATTCCCATCATCATCATCATCATATGCTCGCTTATCGATCTTTCACCAGAAACCAGCCAAATTCACAGACAAACACAAAGAAAGAAAGAGAAATGGTACAACTTAAGGAGAAAATGAACCAAAAATGGGGCCAAAAATACGCGGTAAATAACAAGCTTTTTACCGAGCTACAGAAAATGGTAACCAATTCGTTACCGAATAATATGTAAACTCGGTAAAAATTTTATTTAGTGTGTACAAAAAAACATTGTAAAAAGAATGTTAAACAAAAACGGAGGGAAAAATACGGTAATTTTTACTGAGCTACCATACTTGGTAACAAACTTATTACCGAATAACATGTAAACTTGGTAAAAATTTTTTTACCGTGTACAAAAAAAACAATTTAAAGAGAAAGTTCGCCAAAAATGGGGGCAAAAACACGGTATTTGTTATCTAGCTACCGAAAATGGTAAACAAATTTACCGAACAATGGGCCCGGTAAAAAAAGTGTTTAAAAGATTCAAGGAGAAAATTTATTACAAAAATAATATGCTCAAAACGTACGTAAAAGTGATTTCAATCCCGATTTTCAAAATCATATTAAAATTTCGCCAAAAATTTTGCTCGGAAATTTATCTAGATATTTACAATAAAATTCTCGCCTAAAATGTTCCCTGTTTTTGAAATAATATGCGATTTTCTGATGATAATATGATAATAATGAGACGGCTATAAACTTTCACTGCACATTCGTACCTTAAATTTTCTCTGCTAAAAATTATCCCTTTTTATATTAATTAACCTATTTAAAGTTACTTAATTTTAGTTAATTGTAATAGGAAACTTTGAGGTGGGGTTTTTTAATGTTTTCTTTTTTGCCCCCACACACGTGACCACACTTCGTTTGCATATTTATGTATGTATTTATCATATAATGAACCTGCTCGCTTAGTTAAATTAATAATAAAATTGTGAAGATCATCATTTTACTTTTTACACAAGTTTCTCTTCTTTTTTATCGATTGGATGTCTCGCCGCGTGTAAAAATTGCACACTTTTTTCCCCTTTCGATTCAGATTCGTAAATTAATACTGTCCAAGAAAGAACACCGCTGGAAAGAAAATCAATGATGACGAAGGTTCTGAGTTTGTGGTGGAATTGCACGGTTGCAAATTATTTCGCGAATTTTAAATTTTAATCCACGTGGTAACAATTTGGTCTAGAATTTTACCAGGGTTAATAAATTCTACCAGGCTTAATATAAATTTTACCGGACTTAATAATTTAACTTTGCCAATTATTTCGCAAATTTTAATCCATGTGGTAACAATTTGGTCTAAACTTTTACTTGGTTTAATAAATTTTACAGGGCTTAATAATTTTACCGGTTTGATAATTTTACCGGGTTTAATTATAGTGAATTTTTTCCACGCATTAAAATTTAATTTCGCGCATTATTTAGCAACTTAAAATTGCACCTATAATTTTTTCCGCCATAAATTAAATATGCCGCCATTCTTCTAATTATGCCAATCACTTATCATGCTAACACTTTCTTTTAGTGAAAGTAAAGTACGAAATTTTGATACTTTACGTGTCTCTGTAGCAAGAATCCTTTTTGTCCCCGGAATCCAAATTTGTGACGCAATTCTTTATATAAATAATCACCATAACACAAAACCAGAACACAAAAAATAATAACTTAAAGGCTTTCACTTTTTAAAACACATGAACATTTTTGGGGTCGAATTTTGCAAAAATTTTGAATTTTGAATGATGAGCAGAACTTGATTTCTTTCTTTCTTTGCGGTTTCTTTCTTGATTTTTTCTCTTCGTTTTTACGAATCTGCAAGAAAAATGGTCATCTCAATCGTCATCAGGATCATCATCATCATCATCACTAATTAGGTCGGCCAATTTTTGCACATTTTTAACTTTTGCAGAACTACTCTCACCATTGTCCGATCCCTCCGAGTGTGACTCCACTTTCGACTTGTTTTCCTTTTTCCACTTCATGCGTCGATTTTGGAACCAGATTTTGATTTGTCGTTCTGTGAGACAGAGCGCGTGCGCGATTTCGATGCGGCGCCGGCGCGTGAGGTAGCGGTTGAAGTGAAACTCCTTCTCCAACTCGAGCGTCTGGTAGCGCGTGTAGGTCTGACGGCCGCGTTTCCGCTCTGCTTCAGAGGGGAAAAGAAAAACAGAGAGAAATGTTTAAATTTCGGAAATTTATTTGTAATGTAATCAATATTATGGAATTTTATTGTGGGTGGATTTTTTTAGAAAGTTTTTTTTAAAAATAATGTAACAAGTAAATTAGAGAAATTTCGGAAATTCCAGACATTTTTATCGAGATTTATGATCGAACTTAATTTTTTTGTTGAAGATTTTGAGAAGGATTTTTCTAGAAAATGTGAAATTTTTTTAAATAAGATAATAATTTAATGGAAGAAATGCTTAAATTTCGCAGATTCTCGGTAAAGTTTTATGCAATTTTATGGTGTAGATTTAGTAGAAGTTTTTTTTCTCAAAATTTTTAAAATAATGTAATAATGGAAAATCATTTAACCAGAATTTTTGGTGGTAACGCCATTAAATATTTTTTTAAATTTTAAACTCCAATCCGATTAATTCCTAGATTTTTGATGAGTTACATCAATTTTAAAATTAAAGGTGGATATTTTTTTTACAAAATTTGCAAATTTTTCAAATTTAAAACGATAATTTTACAAGAAGTGAATTTTTTGGTTAGGTTTGCCGATGGTAAATATTTTATTTGTATTATTTTGATCTTAACAGAATTTCGTAGGTATGGTTCCGGTTTAGTAGAAAATTCAGCTAAATAATCAATTAATTATCGTACTTTTAATTCCATTGTTACAAATATGTATGCTAAAAGATGAAAATACAGATTTACGAAAAATTTACGAAAAAGTGAAAAATGAAAAATTTTCATTCATTTTCTGGGATAGTTTAATGCCCATAATGTTTTTATGTATCTATTCTAATATTAAGGCAACATTTGTAGATGGGCGTGTTGCTCTTTCGTGGTTACAAAGAAGTTTAGAAATTGAAAAGCACGTCACAAATGTATGTAAAAAAACATGTTGAACCAAATACTCCCGTCATTTGTCAAATTTGTCTTTACAAAACCCCCCAAAATTGCGAATATTGTGGTAAACTTGCATAGATTGCAAAAAAGTAAAATCAGTCTGAAATATATACCATGCATTTTTACACCAATCAACAATTCTTCAACTTGTGAACACTTGTTTGTAAATCATTTTCATACAAATTTAGCTAATTTAAAATCCACGTGCGAATTATGTTATTCGTATTCCCTCCAAAACTTCGTAGGTTTCCAACATTTGCAAAAATTCCTTGCATAATTCCCCTTCAAAATTCACAAATTTCTATTATTTCCAAAACCCCATGCATAACTTGCTTTGAAAATTCAAACTATTTTAAAAAGTTTCTCCATAATTTCTCCAAAATTGATAAATTTCTGCTATTTCAAAACTTCCTTGCACAATTTCTGCAATTTCCAAAATTCTCTGCATAATTTCCACTATTTCTAAAATTCCCTACATAATTTTCACCATTTCCAAAATTCCCTTCATAATTTCCACAATTTCCAAAATTCCTTACATAATTTTCACTTCAATCTCATAGACTTTTTCCCTCCCACTTTTTCCCGTGTGTAAAGTACTAGCATTTTTCTCTCATTGGACGCCTATGGGACAAAGGAAGCTTCCAATAACGAACTCTTCTTGGTTTCGCTGGGGCTGTGTTGGGTCCGTGTGGTGCGTACTTTGTTGTTATGCAAGGAATAATGGAAGGGAGGGACGCGCCCATAAATCACGTTGACATTTGACAGACAGCTGAGCCTTCCTGGGGTAATTCTGCCCCGAGATCCTGTCAGAACAGCCAACGAGAGAACACTGACGGGCTAGACGCAAAGGACGTGGATTTTTTTTACCGGTGTGGTAACAAAATTTGTACCGAGTTTTTTTGCGTATCAATAATTTGGCAAGATATACGAGATTTGTTCGTAAATTATTTAATAAGAAAAATAAAAATAGTTTTGCCGCAAAGTGGTAATTTTGAATTTTCGGTGGAATTGTTTTGTGCTTTTTTCGGTAGTACTACATACTTTTACCGATTTACCAAACTGGTAAAATAAACTTATAGAAATAATAAATTATAATTTTCTGTGGAATTCAAATATCTTGAATTTCCGCAAAAATTCTAATTAGCCACTAAATAATTCGGTAGCGCAGTTTTTACCGGTAACAATATTAGTACCGAATTAAGACCAAAATTATCTGCTAAATTCAAATTTATTTCATACTGAAATTTAAATTATTGTCCTATTTTTGGTAAAAAAGCATTCGGTCGTCCGAAATTTTATTACCGCATTCTTTCTGTCTTTCCCCCTTTCGCGAAGGCAAAAAATCCATAATATGATTCCATCCAAAGCCAAACATAATTGCAGTCGGGCCACATTTCAACTTCAGTTTGAAACTTGATTGACTTTTTCTCGAGGAAAGGAGATGAGAGACTAATTCAAAATTCGACACGTCACTCACACTCGAAACCCAGACCGACGACGACGACGACACAGAAGGATACACGCTCCACTCCATTTTATTGTTAATACAATCATCATTATTCTCACGAAGAATGAGACACCCTTAAAAATATGGAGAGATGATTTTCCCGCGTGGTAAAAAGCTACCAAAAAATTGGTAAAAAATTGGTAATCTTTGTAACAAAAGGAGATTTTTAAAAAATTTAAAAACCGTTTGTTACAAAAGCTTTGGAAAATGAGTAACATACCAAATTGATAACAAATATAGTTAGTAAATTGGTAACAAAATCGGTAACGAAAAATTTGACAAATTGGTAACAAAAAAGTTACCAATCTGATAATAAAGACATGCTTTCTGGAAGACGAAATATATTAACTTATCAAAAAATGGTCACAAAACTACCAAAAACTGATCACAAAATTACAAAAAAAAAAATCAAAAATTACCAAAAACTGGTCGCACAAAATTTCTGTCTCAAATTTCTAAGCGTGCAAAGTCCAAACCTAAAATAAAATATGCTACACAGACACCTTCTTATTTGAAGGTTTACAAATTAATAGGATTCTAATAAAGGAACGAAATAAGTACAAAAAATTAGAACCCCCTGCCGTTCCGACATAAATAGGATACCAAACTAATTAAAACTCTACTCTTTCCGATAAAGAAAAATTACTAATTGTAACTGCCGACGTATTTATTCTTACTTTTGATCAAACCATTTATTTGAATTTGGTATTATTATTTTATGGATAGATTTTCCGCCAATAGTAAAATTTGCGAGAGATAAAGTAAAATAGAATCTCGTGTAGATAATCCAGGGATCCTTTACATGATAGTTCTTAAAAAAATTGGAAATTTTGAAGAATAATTAGTACGCATTTTAATTAAATTAATTGTTATATAATATATATTATTATATATTATTTGTGTGAAGATCATTTTTTCATGGATGCCTTGGATTGCAGAAAATCTGGAAATTTGAACAATAAACCCTTGGTTTTGCCTCTGATGCAAATTTATCTTAAAAATTTCTAAATTTTGAGAGAATCCGTTCTTCACAAATACCTAATTTTTACTTATAAGAATACTAATTAATCTGTTAAATGACATGAGTTATTTTTAAATTCTGTAATTTTCTACAACTATGTATGCAAATTTAAGTTTCTTACTGCTCGGACCCTGCCAAAAATTGTTACCAAAATTGCAGTGCAAAGCCTGCCATTTAATTCCCACACGTCAAAATATTTGCGTTGTTCTCTCACCTAAAAAAAACATGTCAATTTTAACGGCAAAAAATTCTCACCAAAATTTTTACGTAACTCGTCAAAAAAACAGAGAAACCGGAAACCGTTAAAAAATCCAACGCAACCGTGCATGATTTGAGGGAAAAATGACAAATTTTCATCTTCCCTCAAAAATATGGGTAGGTAAGTTCACACAGAAAGCAAAAAAATAGTGGTAACTTTATCCACATGATTGCACAAAAATTCGTCACGCGTTAATACACATAAATAAATAATGTCCCGTTCGTTTTTTTTACATGAATTATATTATTCTAAAAAGAAATGAGAGGCATGTTTTCTTTCTCTATAACAAAACCTCGTCAGAAATTTAAACTTATCAAAGCACAAGTCAAAATCCTTCAAAAAATTGTATTTTTCGAACTTTTAAAATTACCTTCAGAAATTTAACCTCTGAATAAATGAGGCAATTCACGCAGTCACTGGTAACTTTGTAAAATACGAAAATTTTGTACACAAATAAAACAAACTTTTACCAAATACAGAGCATGTTCCAAAAAATTTGTGAGGTAGTTTTCCTCGCAAACATTTCTAAAATTTTGTAAAAGTTTGCAAATTTATATAATCTACGGATTTTACAGTGTTACTAAGGGTTGCATGAATTACCTCAGAGTTTACTGCTAACTTACCCAATAATCTAAACAATTGATGTAACTAACTTTCCTCAGAAACTTAAACTCACCAGGATGAAAACGATTTAAACATCAACACAAATCAGTTCCACGATTAAAAATCCTTTCAAACAATTTATATAAAACTTCGAAATCACAAACTTTTTAAATCCTTGTAGAAACTTAAACTCTACCAAAAATCCAATTATTTCTGCCAAAACTAAATACAAAATTCCACAAAGTTTTTTCAGAAACTTAAACCTCCAAAAACTGTCTCTCTACTTGTGAGATGTCTCAATCTCTCTCCCCTCAGTAAACTGACCCTTCCTTACGTATTATGCAAATCAAGTCATCTCATCTTTTATTGCTCTTTTATCCCCAAGTTTTATGACACTTTACATCTTATTACGCAATCCTTCCAGTCCATTCATCCCGCGACCTTAAACTTTACTTGGGAAGAAAAAGGGTTAAACTTTATGGCTTTTTTGTCCCAGGGAAGAAAAAGTGTCGTAAAAATTGTCGAAAAACAAACTCACTTTCGTTCAAGGATTCTTTCTCCAGGTGAGAAAATTGACAGATTAAAGGTGTCCTTACACATCAATCTTGTCACCTGTCTGTCAACCCTTTTTCCAGCTAAGGGTGAGTTACATAGTTCTATTTTTATAACAAATTGAGTTGTCACCCTTGGAAAATTAAATTATCAAAAACAAAAATTTGGAAATTTTATCTCGCTAAAAATATGGATTTTTTTTCATAAAATCTAGTCTTATGAATTTAATAATTCTATTAATTTTTTAGCATTTTAATTTTAAACTTTATTTAAAAAACTCGAATTACATCTGTAGATAATAACTTATGTGGCATACTAATTCCAAAAAATTCTGTAAAACAGCGTCAAACTTACTCAATTTTTTACATACTTTTTGTGTACTTTTTGTGTAATAAAATTCTGAACTTACATTCGGATATGCATTTATGAAAAATATGAATTTTTCATAAAATCCAGTCTAATTAATTTGTAGCTTTGTATTTTTAACGTTGTTTATTATATTAAAAAAAAAACTAGTCATGCGTGGAGAAGATGAATCTATATTAAAATTTATACAAAAATTCGAAAATTTTAGCTCACTAAAAATATTAATTTACGTAAAAAATTCAGTTTTATGGATTTGTAGCATTTTACTTTAAATGTTATTAAAAACCCATCATAGAGTCGACCCATCTATGTAAAAATGTGTTGTATTAATTTTTACAAAATCCGTAATACAGCGTCAAACTTATTCAAAACAAATTTTTTCTATATTGAAATCTTTTGTGTAAAAAAATTGTGAAATTTTATGCATCTCGCTAAAAATATTTTTTCGTAAAATTTAGTCTTGTGAATTTATAGCATTTTATTCTTTAAACGTTATTAACAAACTCACAAAATTCGGGTATCACGCATCTACGTTAAAATTGATGCCGTCTATTAATTTAAAAAAATCTGCGAAACAACGTTAAACTGATTTTTATCAAAAAATTAATTTTATAAAGCTAAATCTTATAAAATGCGTGAATTTTGTAAACTTCGTAAAGTTTATATTTATACGTTTTGTTATGTCATACTTTCATCCCATTTACAAAATTTAGAGAAATGTAATTATAAAATGAGAGTTAGAGATAATAATCCTAGAATTTCAAATAAAAAATAGTACAAGTTCAGATTTACGAAAAAATGAGGCAATTCACGCAGGCCTTGGTAACTTTATAAAATAAAATTTACAAACTTTTACAAATTTTACTCATATTTCGGACCAAAATTAGCTCCCAAATTTTTGTAAAGTTACTCCGATCAAGGGCGTCTCTTTATTCCGTATTTACAAGTTTATAAAATTATTTTACAGAATTTACAAAGTTGCCAAGGACTGCGTGAATTGTAACCCGTTTTTCCCTCCATCCATTCAACCCAGTAAATAAATAAGCACACAATCTGTTACGTAATGTAAGCCGAGTGCGAGAAAGAGGCGAATTTCGGTAATAATCGTAAAATGTGATTGCCATAATAAAACTTAATGCGTTGGCCGACCTTGAACTTTCGCGTGGTGCAGACTACTTCATTCCGTGCTTAATGTCACCATTTATTTTTATGAGCGTTACTTTTCATTCTCAACAAGTTCTTCTACCCCACATTTGTACGTATCAAGGCCTATTTAGATTACATTTTTCCATGAAAACCATGCCCTCCACCAACAAAGAAGAACACGTGTAAAAAAAAGATTGAATCGATTACGCCATGCAAAACGCTAACATTTTTGATAAAATTTTATCTCATTGAAAATATGGGTATTTTTTCATAGAATTTTCTTATTAATTCGTAATATTTTTTTTTAACTCAAAAATTTCTGTGAAATATACATACTTTGAAATTTTACCCAAAAATAACACGTGAAAAAATAGAGAGTAAATTAATCACGCTGTGCATAACCCGATAAAATTTACCTAATTAAAAATGTGGATCTTATTTTTCATAAAATCTTGTCGTATCAATTGGTACCTTTTTATTTTTAATGAAAAAAATCCAAAAAAAGTTCTGTGAAATGATGTTCACACTTTTTTTTAATTTTTAAGATTGTTTTCATAAAACTCGCCGACTGCAGAAGAAAATTGGCTATCTTTATTGTAATTTATTATATGTTAACTCCAAAAAAACTTTGCGAAACGGCGTTAAACTGATTTAAAAAATATATTTTTTGTTTAAACAACTTCGAAAATTTTATCTAGCTAAAATTATTGCATATTTTTTAAACAAAATTTTGCCTAGGTTCTGTTTTTTCATATGAAAACCTTGCCCTCCACGAACAACCAACACGTGTAAAAAAAGAGAGTAAATCAATCACGCTACGCAGCATGCAATAGGTTTTTATATTTGATTTTATTATCTCGCAGATATTTATGAGATTAATAAATTATTACGTTTCACTTAAAGGAATATTGCTCGGTGTATTCATTGATAATATAGGTCTCCGATTTTGGGCAAATTAGTGGCTATCGATGATAAATTTATGTAATTATAATGAAATTTGGAAAAGGCCAACCAACGTTTGGCAAAGATATTTGCATCCAAATGGGAGAAAATGTGCAGAATAAATTTGAAAAGTGTAAAATTTTTTATACATTTTTTTTAAAGAGCTATTTTTTGAAAAAAGGATTGCAAATTGATCAAATCTGGTGTACGCATATCTCGCGAATAGTTTCATGCAAAGAAGTCGTCAAAATTTCAGAAACCTGTAATCTATGATATTTTTTATATTTTCCACTAAAATTGAATGCACTTTAAAAAAATCATATGCTCAATATTTCTGACACATTTTTGGTCCACTTAAAATACAAATGTACGATTCATAATTTTTCAAAAAAATCCACCCATAAAATTACTAAAAAATATATCTCAATCAAAACTTTCTCCTTACCGAACTGACTCCTCATCCAAGGATACAACGGACTAGGTAACGCAGCAGCAGGACTATTCTGTTGTTGCGGGCTTTGGTGCGGGTTCTGAATATTTTGTGGCGGTAAATTCCCCCCATTCGATCCAGCCACCCCGCCCCCACTTCCCATTCCGGGGTGCGGTTGTTGCTGCTGCTGCTGCTGGTGAATATTTTGCTGATGCTGCTGCGGCCCCATGTTTCCATACCCGCCGACCATCATTCCCGTATGATTATGGTTATTTCCCCCACCCCCATTCGGCGTCAAACTCCCGCCGCCATTCATATGCCCCATCCCGCCCAATTCGGGGGAAAGCGGGGGCCCCACCGGCTCCCACTTGCCGCCCGGGACCCCTCCCCCCATTCCGCCACTGCCGGGCGAAACTTGCTGATGGTTCAGAGCGGGCTGCATTTTGCACGAATTATACCCCGGCGCGACCTGTTGGACTTGCTGCATTATGGGCGCGACGCCGTGCGGCGGGCCGACCCCCATGGCATTGTTGACTACCGAGGGTGGCGGGGAGGGCGGGCGGTACGAATTGTTGGGGCCATCAATCCCGCCGGGGTAGTAGCCGGGCGGGGCGCGGATGTCGAGCCGGTCGTAGGGCGGGAATCGGGGGTAGAGTGGTTGCCCGTTCTGCCCGTGGGGGTGGCCCTGATGGTGTTGCTGTTGCTGCTGCTGTTGGTAGTGCGCGTGCGCATCAGTGGCCCCGTTCGGGGTGGTGCAAGACGTCTGATAATGGTCGGGCGGGGGGCCCCCGCCGCCCCCGCCGTTCGAGCGGGGGGCGTGGAGCTCGGGAATGTATGAGTTTGAAAAGTAGGAGGTCATGTTGTTATGGTGGGCGTGGGAGTGGGGGTGATGATGTGGGGGGCCCGGGGGCAGGGAGGCGAACGAGGAAGGGTCGAGGGCTTCCAGTTTTGTGGTTTTTGTGGGAGAGTAGATACAACCAGAAATTTGAAAAAATTTGGTAGATTTTTAAATTTCCGGAGAAGGTGATGATTAGATAATTCGTATACTGCGGTGAGTGAGTGATGAGTTCCCAGAAACTAGTATTTTTTTTTACTTCGTATACTTGTTTTGGTAACTAGTTTCCAAATATATAGAAAGGGCGTGGTATTTTTCGCTAGGTTGAGTTTGACGAGTTGTGCAGGACTTCTGGAAAATAAGAAAATAGAAATTTTGTTAATATTTGATTCTTATGCAACTTTGTTTGTGCTATTTTATAATTCGATTTTTGATGTTGTAAAATGGAATTTTATGCCAATTATTTGATAGTGTATAAAACTGAGACCAATTCACGCACTCCTTAGTAACTTTGTAAACTCTGTAGCATAATTTTACAAATTTTTACAAAATACAGAGACGCCCTTGATATGAACAAGTTTACCAAAATTTTGGAACTAATTTTCTTTCCAAATATTCCCTACATTTTGTAAAAGTTGGTAAGTTTGCAGAATTTATGAAGTTACAAAGGCCTGCGTGAATTGCTTCAATTTTTTTGATGTTGTAAAATTCAATTTTTTTCTTTCATAGATTTTTTTAACTATTATAAAATTTATGCCAATTTTTTTTATCCATGCCATTGTTTTCCGATTTCAAGGTTAAATTCGCATTGTTCTGGAAATTATTATGAGAATTACTTCTCTCCGAGTGCAGTGGAAGGAACCCTTGGGACCAATTATTATTAAAGTGTGTACATACATACGTTCATACATTCGTACGTTTCGTACACATTTCCATGCACGTAGCGGAGTACGGAGCGAATGGGTAGTAGATGCAGAAAAGTGGTCATAAATGTCATCCTAATTGGAAACTATGGGCGCCTCGTGGTACATAAATAACTAGCAAAAGATCAACAAGTTCCATGACCTTAAACACCAACCAAAAATCATGACCTTTCACAACAGATAAGAAATCTCCACGTGTTTCCAGAACACAGATACAAATACAAATCGTGCTACGTCAAAAAATCGTATTTTTAGATAACTATGCTCTATAAATATAGAAAATTCCAATATCTATTCCAACATCCAATTTCTTAAAATTTAAGTTCCCATAACTTTAAAATCGTCAACCAACAAAAATCATGACCTTTCTCAACAGATAAGAAATTTCCATTAATTCTACATAAATTCCTCAAAAAATATAAATGTCCCAAAGTTTAACACCGATTCGTAAAAAATTTGGAATTAATCACAAAACTAACATGTAAGATTATATTCCTAGAGGTTTAAAATACAAACAAAAATTATGCGACGGGCGGATAAAGTGAAAAAACTATATTTTTTCTTTGTTAAAAAATTCTACTTAAATTCCTAAAAATATATAACTTTTTCAAAGTTTAACACCATTTCGTAGTATATTTTTTTGTTCTAGATATTTTTAAATTTTACAGATTAACTCTTCCAAGAATACATAAAAATATGCGACGGGGTAAGAAATAACCCGGTTTTTTTGCTCTTTCTTAAAAAATTATAAATTTCCCGAAGTTTGACACCAATTAGTAATAAATTTTAAATGCTAGATATTTTCAAATTCTACAGATTAAACAAGTCTCTCGAAGGAAGAATATAAATAAAAATACCGGACGATGCAAAAATAACGATTTTTTTCTTTATTTTTTTTAAGAAATCCGTCATCTAAAAAATTATAAATTTCCCAAAATTTAACACCGATTAGTAATAAATTTATGCTTCCTACATCCTCAAAACGTTAAAGATGCCATGATTTGCGTCCAGAAATAAGCAAAACTTCACACAGTTTTAGAACCATTTAATTTCATCCCCCGTGCACCGTCTTAATTCACGTCAATCTTTGTAACCTCGTAAATATAGAGGAAAAAAAGTATACCAAACATATCCCCAATCCAACTTCTAAGCCACATCACTTATTTCTACACGCCAAAGTCCTCACTTCCTCATCATTTACACAGTTGCATACTGTTTCCTCTTCCATTTAACGCCAATCTTTGCAACCTCGTAAATTAAATACCAACAAAAAAGTTTATACTAAAAATATCCCTAATCCAATTTCTCACCCAGATCGTGATCATTCCCACACCAAAGTTTACTTATTTCTTCTCACATCTTCATTTTTTACACACTTTACACAGTTACGCATCTATTTCCTCTTCCAATTCACTCCAATCTTTGTAACCCCATAAAAAAATTTATGCTAAAAACATCCCCAATAAAAAATCCCACCCAGATCATTCTCATTATCACACCAAAAAGTTTACTCGTTTCTTCTCACATCCTCCTCATCATTTACACACAACTGCTATTTCTGCTTCCTCGTCCATTTCTCACATCACGTCACGTCACGAATTTATCCCTTGTTTTCATTCCAGCCAACTCAAACCGGAACTCGCACCACTTTACAAACATCCTCGACTCTCCGGGGACACGTTACATATCACAATTTCACTGTTTTGACACACATTTCCGCCTTTTTTCCGTGATTTTTTCTAAAATAATCAACTAAACTTTTACCCCACATAATTTCCGTCCTTAACAAAATATGTGGTAAAATCCCGGGTATTTGTCCATCCTAATTAAACTTTTTCTTCTCCAGTAATTTGTGCCCCGTTAAATAAATAAATAAAAATCTCCCGGGTATTATTTGTCCATCCTTCGACCCGTCAACTGACTGACTGGCGACTAACGGAGGAGGAAAAAATACTACAAAATATGTAAAAGCCATTCATTCATTCAAGTGAAGTAAAGTTGGACATGGATGTCAACCTCGGACGAGAAACATGTGTCCCAAGCAGAGAAAAACACGTAATCACGCCGTGAAAAAGGCGCATAATGACATAAATAATGAAGGCAACCACCGAATTTCCACGGCAGGACGTACATATCCCTGATGGCGAGGGTGGTATGGAGTCCAGAAATTTTTGACGAATGTGAGGATGTGCGGATAGGATGGGAGAGGTTTTGGGAGGAATGGGATGATGGGTATGAGATGCCACGTGGTTACCGGGAGGCACACAGTATTCGGAGGAGGAAGCACTCTAAATAATTTTGGGAATAAATAAAATCACTAATGCAATTCCTGGAAATTGAGTAAACTACCAGACTTTTACAAACTTTTCGAACTGATCTGTTTTCACTTGAAGAATGCAAAACACCTTAAAACGTTATCATTGACATTGTAACTTTAATGTAATTTTGTTTTTTTAAATGTTCTTTCAAACAAAAATCTCCGCGTAAGGAAATCAGTAAAATTATCGGTTTGACATCAAATTGAGAGAAAATTATTACTAATAAATTGTAAAACCTTTATCGTTAGATTCAGGCAAGTGTTCGCATAATTTTTTTTACCAAATAATAAAAAAATCCATACACCAAATTCAAGCAGGTCTTGGTAACATTCTAAATCTATAGATTCTGTAAACTTACAAAATTTTACTCATATTTTGAGGGGAAATTAGCTCCCAAATTTGTGCAAACTTGCTCAGATCAAGGACGTCTCTTCATTTTGGAAAAATTAGTAAGATTATTTTACAAAAAACGACCGGTTCTTTAAAATATTTTAATTTAAGAAAAAGTCGGTGAAAAAATTCAAAATCTTTTTTTTTGTCTCTAAAAAACGCTAATTTTACATAATTCTCATCCTCATTTTTAATTTCCTCTGATAGTAAAATCAATTGTAGAATTTAACCGGAAACTTATGTCAGGTTTATTTTATAAATCAAAATTTAGAAATTTCTTGTTACTTACAAAAACTCCAAATTCAAAATCCTTTAATTTATAAATAGATTTTCTAAGGTAGGAATAAGTTTCCCAAGAGTTAGCACGTTTGCCAAAATATTTCTAAATCCGATCCTAATTAAACGTAATTCTCCTGAAATTGCGCCCCATCCATTGACCTAGTATTTATCTTGTTTTAATCAAATTCAGGAAACCAACTTTTCAAATATTCCTTAATTGGCGTAATCAACATCCAAATAATTTTGGAAATATTTGTATTTCCGGGTTTGATTTTTTTACAAAAATTTCTCCCCATTATTTAGAGTATGTTACATAATAATGAGTCTCTATCAAGACCCAAATTTCGGAAATATTTTAATTTACAAGTGAATCCCAACGAAAATGTCGGATTTTTATCCCCGACAAAATTTCTCCCCATTATTTAGAGTATGTTACATAATAATGAGTCCTTTGTATAGGCCCGATGGGTGGGTCATTACTCAAAAATCGTGTCCCTGTCCCTGCCGCATCTGGCACCGTCCACCGACCGAGAAGGCTCATTTACTAGTCGAAATTTCTCAAAAATCCGACCACCAGATCAAGCAGAACTTACTCCATTTCATTCCAAAAGTCAGACATTGACATCTCTTTTGTCCACAGGAACGAAAATTCAATCAGCTTCCGTTCCCGACCCAACCCAACCAAAATCCGGACAAAAAAGAAGACAAATCATGACATGAAATGAATTCCAGTCAAAAATCCAGGTGGATTTGTAACCCGTCATAAAATATCGATACACTTCTTTTCATGACCCTTTTTTAATTCGGATTCGATTTCATTCATACTTTTTTTTATTTACAAATGGGTTCGATTCAATCCTTTATTTGGAATTGATTGGTTACTAAGTTCACGCTGATTTTTGTAAAGGGTGTAAAATTGTGGTGGATATATACAATTCTGGTGTTTTGTTCATGATAATTTGTAACCAGATTTTTCTTTTCGTGATTTTTACAAAGTTTGTGAAGAAATGGGTGTAATTTTATAGATTTCAGGACTGGCTTTAAAGATTCGAGTGAATTACACAGTTGAATGGAATGGGGAACCAAATTTACGTCGATTTTTGGAAAGGTTGTAAAATTATGGGACAAAATACATTTGCAATTCTAGTGAGACTTTTTAAAGCAAATTTTTCATAATTTTCACAAACTATGTGAAAAAATAGTTGTAAATTTATGAATTTTACAGGGGTTTTAAAGATCAGAATGATTTACTTTGCTGCTTAGAATTATTTAGTGATTTCAATTTACTCCGTTTTTTGTAAAGTTTGGCAAATTCATGCTGCAAATTTGATCCATCCTCGTAATTTTACTGCAATTTATAACTGCTTGTTTACCCACTTTACAAATTTGATCCAGTCTCATAATTCTGATGCGATTCGTATGATTACAAAATTTGCCGTGA